ATTTTGCAATTTTAGTTAAGGCAGCAAATATTGATCTTCATACAGTCTATTTTTTTGAAAGATTTTAAATTTATTAACGGCATGGCACAACATTCAGAAAACCTAGGGTCAGTCAAACTTTGATGAATTTTTTGCTTGCGGAAGTTTGAGAGAATTTTCTTTCCGCATCTCTACCAGGTAAGCAGCAATTGCGAGAAGATAAAATTTATTTTCTAAACTATGTTTGCTAATATGAACCTTACTACATTCAAAATAAGTCTTTTCATTTGTTCACAACTTGGACATGTGGTTTGAGTTAAAATACGCATGCGCCAAAAAGTGGCAACGTACGCCTTGAGATGAGATTAATATGTGTATTGTATTAATATGTATTTATTGTCTGTATACAGTAGAAATATTCTTGTAGAAAATTTTATAAACTCTATAATATAAAGGTTGTCGGCCCGATCAGCGAAAACTACTACGACCGATATTCCGATCCAGATTAAAAGACAAAGGTCAAAATGGATATCTACAAGACCACCGTTAGATCACATTCAACGTATACCGCGCCGGCTTGATACGCAATGACCAGCGCCACCAACAAGATGAACTTCGAAATACAAGAAAACTTCACTCTGCGTAACAGCAATGTATGTACATAACAAGCATATGAACATACTCACAACACGCCATAGTACAATGGTAACAATATTTTAATAATTTAATTCCATGCAGTTCTACAACGTGTAGAAGCGGTGTAAGAATATTCACTACTCCATAATATCATCCCGTGGGTGTAGTAAGAGGCGACAGAGGGAACCAAACCACGACTAAAAGTAAAATCTGTTGCCAACCGGCTTGCCAAGCGTGACAGCTATGGCAAATATTCTGATCCTGATACTTCGTCTACCGGTTACGAGGCTGCCACTCGAAAATCTTTCTTCCCCATCGGTTCTTCGAGTTATATGATCGGCCCATTGCCACTTCAGCTTACTAATCCGTTGGGCTATGTCGATTACTCTGGTTCTCATTCTGGGTTCTCATTTTTAAGTCTATCACGCAGACAAACCCCGAACATAGGCCTCTCCATTAGAATTATTAGGTAATTGTATTAGATATATTAGCGTTCAGCCACGACAGAGTCTATGTATTTCACCTGAGGATGCCTAGTGTAGAGGCAAAACACGTGTCGTATTATCAACGGTGATGTGTCTTTAATAGTGTCGTGGTGTTGGGAGTAGTGGTGCTGGGAATGGTGGTCACGGGGATAGTGCACGCTATTGAGGGCGGGCGGGAGGTGCTCTTCAAACTAGAACAACTAAGACACATCATTTAGTTTTTTACGCGGATCTTAAGTTAATTAATTTTATTTTATTTCATTCTTTTTGGAAAACTTACAGCTAACATTAACAATAAATAATTGAATAACAACTAGAAGGCCAAGTTTTCACCTATAAGCAATATGAACTTAAAAACAATAATTCTAGTCGGTAAAAGATAAACATCGATTCAGACAAATACAGTAAATTAACAAAATTAAACAGAAGAACACTCAACAAAAGAATTTTTGCGCTAAAATATTTTTTAATTGAGAAACACTGGTATTAAACAGATCCAAGTCAACGCTATTGGAAATGTCATTAAAATTCTGCGTGCACGTATCATAAAAGAATTTTGCCTGTATTTATTCCGGGTATGCGGCACGTGAAGTAAGCGAGGCTTTCTTAAGAGGGTACCTCTTGTTGTAAATCCTAGCTTACTCAGTAGCTCCGGACAGTCAACATTACCATTTGCCAATTTGAAAAGATAAATCATTTCTGCTATGCGCCTACGTTCGTGCAGAGGCAAAATATGAAATTTTTTACATCGCGAGATGTAGTTATCAGTGTAAAATTGCGTCTTAAATTGCAGAAAACGTAGAAAACGCTTTTGTACTTGCTCAATCCTATCTATATAGATGTTATAATTTGGGTTCCACACTTGAGAGGCGTACTCTAAATGGCTGCGAACAAGAGCGCAATAAAGTATCTTATATGTTTTAATATTATGAAAATCGGTGGAAAATCTCAAAAGGAATCCAAGTGCTCTATTGGCTTTTTTAATCATATTCTCAATATGTGCATCAAAGAGTAATTTAGAATCGAAAAATAAACCAAGATCCTTTACTAATTGTAATCTCTCTATACTAGTGTCTTGTAATTTGTAGTGAAAGAAAATGGGATTGGGTTTACGAGTAAATGTAAGGATAAAACACTTGGACACATTCAAGACAAGTTTGTTGTGTGAACAATAACGTTCTAGTTCATTGAGATCACGCTGCAGACCAAAGCAGTCAGAAGTATTTGTGATGGGGCATAAAATTTTCATGTCATCAGCGTATAGGATTATTTTGGAGTAAGTAAAACAGGAACCTATATCATTTATAAAAATCGCAAACAGCAATGGACCTAATAGCGATACCTGCGGTATACCTGAAGGGATTTGCACAGTTGCTGATGTGTAACCATTGAGTACTACTGTCTGACAACGATTCTCAATATAAGACTTAAACCACCTAAACAGATCGCCGCTGATACCTACTTCGAGTAGTTTTCTGAGAAGTATAACGTGATCTAAGCGGTCGAACGCTTTACTGTAATCAGTGTAGACTACGTCCACTTGTAAGCGCTCAGACATGATGGTAGTTAAATAGTCAGAACAGACAATAAGGTTCGAAACAGTGGATCTATTTTTTAAAAAGCCGTGTTGATAATAACTGAGTGTTTGTTTGATGCCATGATATACAGACGAGTATACGATTATTTCAAAGATTTTGGTGAATAAACAGAGCTTGGATATTAGCCTATAGTTTTCTACACGGTCATTTGGGCCTTTTTTTTTATGAATGGGGGTAATAAATGCAGATTTCCAAGTAAGCGGTACTATTCCTTCCTTAAGCGAACGTCTGTATATTATTGTTAACGGTATAGTCAAGCTTTTAGCACACTTACTTATAAGAATGGGTGGTATACCATCTGGACCTGCAGATTTATTCAGGTCAATAGAATTTAAGAGCTTAAAGACTTCAGTTTCGCTAATTTGTATCGAGTTTATACCCGACACAGTCTGTGATCGCTAATTATCGGGTACGTATCGGGTGTCATAGTTACTGCGAATTTGGTGAAAATTACCATTAAAAAATCGCTAAACATATTACAAATAATATCCCCTTGGTCTGATGATATGTGTCCATATTTCATTGTAGATGGACAAGCGTTTGACGCTTTTTTATATTTCACGAAGGACCAGAAGGTCCTTGGCGATTTATTTATGCTGAGTTCTACCTTACCTTTTTCTATATAATTGTTGAACATTTCGGATTCTAATTGTTTGGCGCAATTACGTAATATTAAGAAAGACTCATAGTCTGCCAAATTGCCATATTTTTTATATTTGGTGTGATATTTAAACTTTTCCTTTAATATTTTTATAAGAGGGGTTTTATACCAGGGGGGATATTTAGAAGATGATTTTACTACTTTTGTTGGTATGTAAGTGCCGCACAAGTTGTTTAATCGAGTATACAATAGTGACAATGCATCGTCCACTGTGTCCTTAAAAAGATCGTGAGACCGTGTAAAATTATCAAGCTCTTGTGATATAGAGGAGAAATCAGCTAAATGGTACAGAAACTTAGTCCTTGGCTGGACTGGTAAAGTGTGGTACTCGACAAAATCGGCTAAGACACTGAGAGCCACATGATGAGGGTCTTCAGTCACTAAAGGGTCGGTACATTTTGTTGCGGATAAGTGATTATTACAAAAGATTAAGTCGAGGATTCTGTTGTTAACATTGGTATGAGAGTTATAATTCTGCAGATTACACGTACTTAAGCTATCAAAAAAATCGTACTGAACGGACCCCTCAATATTTTCTGGACAAAGAGAGTATCCATCATCTTCAAGAGTCCAAGATATATTTGGCAGATTAAAATCTCCCAAAATGACGAAAGCATCATTTAGATTGGTTGTTACTATGTCGTATAATTTTGTATAAAAACAAGCTAACTGTGCAGATAACGAGTTACCCAGATTTTGTCTGCATAAGTAAATCGTACAAATATGTAATTTATATGTCATTTTCGGTTTGGAACGTCATAATAAGCACACCACCTCTCAACGTTTGATTTGTAAAACTGTAGTTTCTATCACGTCTCCAAACAACATAACGGTCATCAAAGAGCTCGTTATTACAAAAGTCATCGTTAAGCCACGTCTCCGTCAAGCATATAACATCATAATTGTTAATACATACATTCCTCAGAAAAGTTGATGCCTTTGTTCGCAGACCACGTACATTTTGATAGTAAATTTCAACAGCCATCATTAAAATCATACAAAACACGGAAATAGCGACGAAAATAACATACCATAACATAAAATGAAGTGTGAATACGCGCCTAAAGTGTGGTGGTGAATAAATAATATTAATAAAAAGTATATGAATGTGTTTAAATACAGCAAGTAACATCGCCAATTTGTTTAAAATGTAGCAATCGTTAAAAAATAAGATGCGTAATGTGTAATATAAATATTTACGAAGAAATAATATTGATTATTTATACAACAGTAAAATACCGCAAGAAGTAATATAATATTTTTTAAGCTAAACGCTATCTTAATTAATATCATAAATAGTGTAAGGTATAAATAAAAATTGCACCCAGCAGCTATTAAGCTAAGCGACAACAGAACAACAACGTGTACCGTCAGTGATAAAACAAATAAATATAATAAACTTAACGTACCAGTGTTTGTCAAACTTGTTTCACTAATTACAAATAATAAAGAAATAGACAAATTTATATTTAGAGAATCTTCTTTAAATCGGCCTCCGTTTTTCTTGCATGTGTAGGAGATGTCGCATTCTTTTTCATTAGAATTGTACAGTTTTTTACCCATGTATAAGAATTTTTTTTCTCCATAGCAAGAGCGTTTGCCTTATTAAGTAGCTGTTTATTCTCAAACGTAATATCTTACCATCACTGCTGAATCCTAAATCCGCAGCAGTTAAAGATTTACATTTTTTAGCAGCAGCTATAAAATTATCTCTCAGGTAACGGGTGTGAAGTGACACAATGATGTTTTTGCTGTTTTTATTATTACGCTGAGGTACTCTTGCGACGTAGTTGATTTGCTCCTTGGGAACTTCGTAACCTATTTTACTACCAATAATGGAAATGATAGTAAACAGATTTTCAGACGAGGTTACAGGAACGCCTTTGGTCTCAATGTTATTCAGGCGCGATCTTTGCTGATTGTCGCGTACAGCAGCCTCAAGATTCTCCAATCGATTTTCAACACGTACAACGTCATCTTTAGTTTTTTGTAAAGACTGAATTTCTCGATCGATCTCGGTCAGTTTTTTAGTGAGTCCCTCAACCGAAGTATGCACATGGTTCAACGAATTTTTAACGTCCATCATTTCACTCTTCATAACCTTAAGATCTGAAAGGTCGGCCTGGATAGTCTGGACACTTGCAATTAACTGTGGTAATGACGATATTTGTTTAGTAATCTTACTAAGTTCCAATCGAATATTCTCCAGATCACCGTGAGATGGTACTCTTTCTTGTACTGTTTTCTCGGAAGGAAGATTGGGACTAGCGGTTCCTGTCTTACAGGTACTGCATTTCTTAATTTTTAACATCTTAATGGATTACCGTAAAGTAACGCCTGATTCTTAATAATAATTTTATAAAATAAACCAAACTTGCACGCAACGAAGTTATAAAGTTTGGGAAATCCATGCGGGTTTGAAAGAATTTCCTATCCGCAACTATACCCAGTAAACAGAAACTACTAAAAGGCTAAATCTATTCTCTGAAATTCCCGCTTGAATGTGTATCGTGTATCGTTGGATCGAAGCCGGCTGTGGCCCGTGTTGCTCTATATATGTATACTAGCTGTTCCCGCGACTTATTCGCGTGTTAGGGTTTTTATGATTTTGCGCGGAACCCTAATTCTTTTTCTAAAATAAAAGTAGCCTAAGTTACTCCTTGTCTATTTCGGCTTTCACCAGGTTCTCGTCATAGGGAATGGTAATGTCGACCAAACATATCCTTGACCGTACTAGGTCCATCTGCACAATATCAGGCTTATTCGCAAGAATGATCCTGTCTGTGATGATGGCCTGGTCCCAGTAGAGCCTGGCGCGATCATTTTCGAGCACGGCTTCCGGCATGTACTTATAATAGAGCAGTTTCCGATCCACGAGACCGTATTTCAGAGCGAGCTCCTGGTGTAGAATCCTGGCTACTAGGTTGTGCCTATGCAAGTACTTAGAGTTAGAAAGCGCCGAACAACCGGAGATGACATGCCTAAGTGACTCACCGGGATGGCGACAAGCTCGACAAATGTCGACGGTGCCATCCCTTAGGATGTATTTCCGATATTTGTTGGTCTTAATAACCTGATCCTGTATTGCACAGACAAAACCCTCGGTTTCCCCGAAGAGGTCACCAAAACGTAGCCAGTGGAGGGAGGCAACTGTGTCTACGAAAGGCTCATGTAGAGCCTCGTAGAACCTCCCGTGGAGCTCCTTCTCCTTCCATACGGCCTGCCGGTCGGAAATGCTCTGTATTGCCAAGTCTTGCCATTGCTCGTTGGCTAAGGATAGAGGGGAAGTCCTTTATCACAAAAAATAACGTCCTTATAGAATGGATCATCCGCTCTCGTCAGAAAGTAATAACGGAGGCTGCACACTTCGCGATTATGCATGGTAAGCGCGCTTAAAAAGCCGCGCCCACCATGTTTCCGCGGTAAGTACAGCCTCATTACCGACGATCTCGGATGATGCATCCTGTGGGACGTCATAATAGTGCGGACTTTTCTATCCAGAGCGTTCAGTTCAGAGAGTCCACCTGAGTATGCCAAATGTATACATGAGAAGAGGCATGATCTAACCTTTATATGCGTGTGTCTTACTAACGCCCGATAAAAGACTGTTAAGCACTTTTGTCAATTGTGCATAAAACACATCGCAAACTGACTGCTTAATACCCGCCTCATCGACACCGATGTGTCATACCCAGGTATCGGTATGTATATTCAGCGTCGGAAAAGGTCCTTATACTGATGGGCATATATAAGTCTCTGCCCATCAGCATAATTATTTCAGGGTAAATCTTGTATATTTCCAGTATTCGTATCACCCAAGAATGTGGGATGATGTCAAAAGTTTTTTTATAGTCTATGTATGAACATTGTAAATTTCTGTTCCTTGCAGTAGCGTGTTTTAGAATGGTTGAATCTATGATGAGTTGCTCCTTACATCCCATGTGGCCCCGCCTGCACCCTTTCTGCTCTCCGGCAAGTAAGTTGTGTCGTTCTATATGTAGGTTAATTTTCCTCGCAATTGCTGCTGTCAAAATTTTTAGATAGTTGGTAAGCATGTGCTTGGCCGATATTGGGCCGGTTGTGTGGAATAATTACAGGTCGACCTGGACGTGTGGTTGGATTTTAGGGGGCTTATTATTATTATTATTTAATTCGACTACATACCGACTATAAATTTAGAAACTAAGTCATTAAAAAAAATGATATGTTAATATTTTCAAGATTCAAGTTAATTAGAACGCAGTAGTTTAAATTTGGAATGAAATAATTGGAGAACCTATTTAATTCGTCTGATCTGTACAACAAAATTAATTAATTTCTTGGGGCAAATTGTAACTTTTATAATGTAGGTCAGGTTGATGGATATTTTATATATTCAGCCAATGTGAAGAATCTGCGTGCAGGTTTGAGATAAATTTCTATCCGCAGCTGTACCAGGTAAATAGTAATCACGAAGAGGTAAATTTATCCTACAAAATCGTTCGCTGTTTTGAATCTTACTCCTTCGTAAATAAAGATCTTATAATTGCGATGCGTATTAAGTGTGTTATTGATTTGCCTCTTAGACACGTGGTTTGGTTCAAAATACGCATGCGTCCTAGACTGGCAACATGGCATCAAGAGAGCCGACGGAAAAATTACACATGTAAATAATATGCAGACTGCGGGGATATGAATATATATATGACGGAGCGTCTATAAAATACCCGGTTGGATCGAATTAGAAGGGAGGGTTTATCGAGAAACCCCCTCTTGTGTCTGTAGTATAAAGTTCACTGTAGTTGCCGTGCGCGGGAGATTCCGCTCAAGTCATTCAACGAGTGCGGTCACTCTACTAGTACTAAGATATTGTCGTGGTTCTGTTCGTTGTTGTAATTCTTCTAGCGCAGTCAAGGTGGATTGGTGTTGCTGAGATGCTGTCCTGTTACATTGAGATAAGTAGTGTTGCTGTTGGTTTACATATTTTGGTGTTATCATGTAATTACGTACCTCACGTTACACTGGTGTGTGATTGTGGCGGAGACGTGTTACGGTGTGGTCGAACTGTAACTTCACTATACTGAATGTATAGTGCGTTACGTTGTCTCATTACTGATAATGATTAAACTGCGTAAGCAAGAGAGCAAGTTGAACATCCGCTCTCACACTTTTATTATTTTTAACAGTTAACTCTATCCTGATGTATTTCCAAGATCAAAATTGCGATTCTCTATTGTAATTCTCCGACATCAGAAGTGGGATCTCCTGTTGTCATTTCCGATATCAGAAGTGTGATAAAGTCCCTGTTACTGCCCACCTGTTATATAACCTTTGAATAGTGTGAGGGTTATTACGTTGGTGAAAGACTATGACGCGCCTCGCGTTGTTTTGATGTTAAATGTCTTAATTAAGTTTTTTTGTCCTATTTACGACTTCGACGTACTCGTACTATTAAAATATAGAGTAAAAGTTTAAAGTGAAATGTTTTAAGCCAAAAGTTAAATCTTTTTGTTCGATTAATGATAAAAAGTACCCGCAAGTACTTTCATTATTTCTAAACGTACCCAAATATGATAACAAATGTCAAAAGATATGGAGGTATTCTAAATGAGTTATATTTCGCATTCTGTGAAAGTTTAACTTGCTCGAGTTAGTTTAAAATGTTTAAACGATGTACCGAAAAATGTTTAACGTTAACGTGCTATTAATTAAAACACTAAGTTGTATTTCTGTGTTCTAATGTGATGATAAGTGTTACAGTTTACTCCGAGTATTACGTAGTCGACAAAAATGGGATTTGATGTTGAGAGTTTAGTGGAAGGCGTGGTGCTGTTGCGCTCGCTTTTGAGTGAAAGTATGCTGTGGGCATATGACGCTGCGGACACATTAATTACCACTGCTACCAATCACCATGAGATACATGAGGAAAGTAAATTTATCCTAAACATTGTCTTACAAACTATTTTGTAAGAATGAGTGTTACCTTTTTAATTGATTCCGAAAATGCTGGAAAACCAAAGTATAACTGACGAAATTGAAGTAGAGCAAATTAGTTCTGACATTGAAGTGAGTATTTTAGTTTACATGCGGATCGGACCGTAGCAGAGGTTACAGTGTAGCCGCAGCTCAGTACATGGTGCCCTAGAAAAGCGAATGGTGTCCCAAGAGTAGTGCTGCATTTCTTGAAATCAAGTTCCGACTGAGTCTTTTTAATATGTTTTCTTTTATGTGTTACAGTAGCACGTGTGATGTGTTTACATGTGCGCGAGTGTGAGGCAAGTGTGTGCCTTGCTGGTGGTAACGTACTACCGAATCCAGTTGTAGCATAGCCTAGTTTCGGCAGACGCGTATACGCAGGCGCCGTCCCGGCCGTGCCTCGGAAGTCTTACACTATGTGTGCACCGAAGTCATACACTGTGTGCGCGGAAGTCTTATATTCTGTATGCGCGGAAGTCGTGTTCTCTGAAAATGCGTCGGGGTCTGTCCTGGCAGGCGCTATCCTGGTTCACGTTTTTAACGTGGTTCACGTGGTTAACGTGGGATCTCGCAAGATCAAGTAAGAGTATGTGTGAGATACTTCGTATGGAGATGTATGCTTGCGTTCCTTAAGGAGTATGCTAGGGCTGAATCTGAATGACAGGGTGAGAAATAGTGTAATAAGAGAAAAGTGTGGTTTGCAAGATGACGTTGTGACAAGGATTAAGAAAGGAATGCTTCGGTGGTTTGGTCACATAGAAAGAATGAACGAGGAAAGAGTGACAAAGCAAATTTATGTTGCAGAAGTGAACGGCAGGGTCGGGAAGGGACGCCCTAGACGAAGGTTTATCGACCAGATCGGCGATACATTGAAAATGGGCCAGATTAGGAGTACCCTTAACCGACGAGCGTGTATGCGTAGATATATGGATGTGAAAGAGGCGAGAGAGGTGTGTCAGGATCGCGCCAAATGGAAGTCCGTAGTCTCTGCCTACCCCTCTGGGTGACAGGCGTGAGTGTTTATGTATGTATGTATGTATGTATGCTTACTTGTGAAAGCGAAGTGCTTTATTATAGTTCACGGTATGAAAGCGTATTTCTGTTTGAGGGCCTCGTATCTGTGATGGATGAGAGAATAGGCAACTGTGTATGTTGTCCTGATAATTAACAACTTGTTTTTCACGCAGATCACGATGACTGCAACCTCGACCATGCCTGTGAACCTTCAGGTGCTCCTGCTGTTCCCGTTGACGCTTAGGAGTGCGTGGTACGGTGCAGCGTCTCGTTGGCGCTGGTGAGATGCGACGGCTCGCTGTGCGAGTGCGGCACGTCCTGTGCTGTTGTTTTGACCACGTA